ACCCCTTATACACACACACGCACACTCTCTCCGAAATAATAAAGATACGTTGTTTGAAAAATATGGTGTCTGTAATACTAAAGAGAACATTTGTTTGGTATTTTGTTTGTTTTGTCTCTAATGGAGCTCTATGAGGAATGAAGTCTTCTGCAGACAGTTCATTTTAATTATTATATTGATGGATTCTCATCTGGAGTCAGAACATTCAAGAATAAAAACACATTTTTGGGAATTGTTTCACAAAATAAAAAGCACACTTTGGGCATTAATTAGGAAACAATGCACCTATGTTCCATAGGAGGTAATCTTTGTAAATAACAATCCTTTTGAAGGCTACAGCCAGGGATATTGATCACTTCAGTGATACTGAGACATGAACTGTGCTTTATGGATTGATCTTTGAAATAGAAAGATGGGCACATTAATGTAAAAAATTGATTGCTGCTACATGTTTGAAACTTAACCCATGTTATTTGCTGATATTCAGAATAACTTTTATTTGGTATTGTTACGTGTAGTTAATTCCTAACGTTAGCTTTTAAATTGACCAATTTTATAGTTTTATTTATTATTGGTTGTAGCTTATAATTGTTCCAAAATGTGAATCACAATCAGATTGATTTGGTACTGGGTTTTGGCAGAATTGTGTATCAGTCCATTTAGGAGATGGAAACCGTGTTGGTTAAACAAGTGAGTTTAATATAAAAATTATTAAACTATGACAACAGAGTAACTACGAGATCTGACACCCTAGGGCTGAAGGAGTGTACCAAGGAAGGGCAAACTTGGAAAGGGTTCACCTCTTTCGAGAAAAGGTGTAATTCATCCCATTGGACAGCAGAGAAGTTCACGGGTTTGGCCATGCATCTGGAGATGGTCTGCAGTTGCTGGACAAACTGGCGACAGAGAGAGCAGGCGGGCCACTGTCAATTAAGCTGGTGATTGAGTGTCAGAGGGCTTGGGCCTCCACCAGCCACTTGGTGGGCAGAGTGAGGGGCCTGCAGAGGGAGCCCAGGACCTGCAGTGAGAACATCAGGGTTCAGGCAGGGGGCACCCAGGCCTACAGAGGCAATTCCCTTCCAAGCTGGCACAGGTTTCCCTCTAGGGAGGGCCTCGGAAAGATTATCGCCAGGCAGGGGCTGCAAGATGGATGAGGAATCACTAGTTCTGGGCCCCACTGGGTGGCTAGGGCGGAGCTCCACTGACTGTCTTCACAGTCACACGCAAACCAGTGACCTCCCCCAACCCCTACAACAGAAGCCATGGGAGGGCCCCTTGGTCCTGCAGTGTCCCTCCAGCATTCTCTATTGAGGAAGCCCTCAACATTGCGATCATTGTAAAGGAGAAATGCTTAAAGGAATTCCATCTGTGGTCGTAAAGAATGTACTTATTAAAGGGAGCATTTGGAGCTGGGAGGCAATTAATTCGTAACTGGCACACATTGCTGGTTTAGATGCTAGTTGTACCTAATGTTACAGCAAAACCAGCAATTCTAATTGCCACAAGAAGGTCCTTTTGTTTACAGGTGTCCTGATTTTAGCCCCTTGCACTTGTCTGTCCTGATTAGTTGCTTTGTCCTTGCTTTCCGTAGCTGAGCTTAGGACTGTGCTTATTTTTCACTGTCCCTTTCATCCACACCACCCATAGCTCTCCGCAGGGGAATAGGAGGCTTGTCTATATGAGGCACTGAATGTGTGCCCAAATGTTTAGATTAAGTGTTTGAGCAACCTCACTGAAAGGAGCTCATGGAGTATCAATGAACTCTATTCTGATTAGAGCCTTTCAGATCTCTTTTATAAGCAAGTGAGGAAACTGTTTACCCCTAGAGTCTGCACTAGAAATAGCACACAGTTCATTTGGCAAAGCTGAAGAACAATATTGATTTTGAGGCTCTGAGGAACATGCAAGTGCATAGATCAATTTGCTGCTAGTCAGTCATTTTTTTTTCTCCACTATTAGTACAACCATTATTGTGGTCTAGGTGAGAAAAAGTTATTATTAGTGACTGCTTCCTGGTGTTCTATAGATGCTATCATTTACATTCATATTCATATACCGTTATAATCATATATCGATGCATTGTCAACTATTATGTATATGTAAGAGACAGGTATACAGGTGTACAGGGGTCAGATATGGTGTTTAAAAAGATATACACTAGTTAATAATTCCTGGATAAAGCTGGTTTATTATAAACCACAGTTACAGCCATGCGCTGTCATTCACAATATTTATGTCCATTGTTGGTTTAAGGTAGAAATTACCCCTGGCAAGCAATTTTTTTCTAGCGCCCAGGACATAGAACAGTTTTGTTATAAATGGTTTATTCTTTCTTAGGTTAAAGGGGAAAAGAAGCCTTTGATGGAAATACTATAATTGCTTTGGCAATTTGCTTTGGATTTACAATCTTTCCTCAGGGTGCTTTTTTCCCCCATTTAGGTAAAATAAGGAGGGGGAAGGGGGTATTTTATTATACATGTTAAAAAATTCCAACATGAATAAATCCAGCAGATAAATTGCTTGCAATTACATTTTTAAGAGTGTTGCAGGAGCATGAGCATTGAGAAACTAATACTTAAGTACAAATGGTTTATTTGTAGTGTGGAAAATAGGGAATGCTATAAAAACCATTATGATGTACATCTATAAAATGAGTAATGGAATGATTATAGAGGAAGAAATATGCTTTGGTATGAAATCATTTTCTAAAATCTTTTAAGATTAAGGTAAAATCTACTAACCCTGAATTTAATGCATGATGATCTACCATGAATATAACAACGCATTACATGTGTTAGTGGTTGTAGGAGTAATATAAAATACTACCCCCAACTTTAGTGAACTTAAAATCTATAGCTTTTTAAATGTATATATATTGTCTGTTTTTGCTACAGTACTAAGAAATGTACAAAGTAATTGAGTCAAAAATACGTAACTCATTTAGAACAACCAAGCATATGAAAGAGTTAAACAGATGGACAAGAACATGGGGCTAATAAATGATATGGTAGGTTATCAGTTAACAAACATTGACAAAATGCATCATTTCCATGGTTTTGTGAAAATTAAGCTTGAAAACGGTGTTTTTGTTTTCCCTTGATCAGAAAGGGTAACAAGTAATTATAGATAGGATTTATTGAATGTATTCTATGTATACAACTGGTATGTTCAGAGTTAGTTGTCTTTACAGATCCTTATGCGAGCCCTCTAAGATACACTGTACTCAGGACCACTTAGTTTTAAGTGGAATTCAGACCCAGCAGCAGACTTGTCCATGGGCACACAGCTGAAAGTAAAGAACAGAGATGCAAATCCCAGGCTGTACATCCCCCAAAGCCCAGGCATTTTCCACCACACAGTGCAGCTTCTAAAAGTTAAAAATAATTAAAGCATTTGGTTCTTTAGATGTTGAGGACTTGATGATTTTAACTTCCTTGTTGAATTTAAAGACTTAAAATTCAGCTGGGATTCCTGTTAGATCTGTAGTCACTCAACTTATACTTCTGTTTCCCCATTATACACGTAGAGAAAAACTAAAATGTGATATGAGTGAGCAAGGCAAATATAATTTTTAAAAATCATCTCTTTTCTACACCTGGGAACTTTGTTTTTGCTATTGAGGCTTTCACGGGTATTTCCATGTTTCCTTCTTGGCTCACATTATGAAAACTAAGTGTGTTGATTTCACCTTTGTGGTTTAATTATAGATTCTTATTTCTCTAACATAACCTCTTAAATATTATAGTAATGAAAATAATCACAATAATGAATTATCAAATTTCCCTTTTGTTTTCTATCATCCCATTATAGTAATATGTATGTTAACTAATTTCAGGTTTATTTCTTACCTCTTCAATTAGAAAGTAAGCTACTTCTGGGGCCTGTCCGGTGGGATAGCAGTTAAGTTCGTGCGCTCCACTTCGGCGGCCTGGGGTTCTCTGGTTCGGATCGGGCGTGGACTTACGCGCTGCTTATCAAGCCATTCTGTGGCGGGTGTCCCACGTATAAAGTGGAGGAAGATGGGCATGGATGTTAGCTCAGGGCCAGTCTTCCTTAGCAAAAGGAGGAGGATTGGCAGCAGACGTTAGCTCATGGCTAATCTTCCTCAAAAAAAGTAAAGTAAGCTACTTAAAGATTGTATCAGCATTTTTGCATAATGAAGGAGGCTACACACAGAGGTTATATATATAATAAATATTATAGATTAAACATCTGATTATTCTAATTGAAGATAGAATTATGAAATAGTGTTTCATACAATTTGCTAATTGTAACACGGTGCTTGGTAGACTCATGGAGTTTCTGAACTTCTTGGCAAGATTAGACCATTATGGTAATATGCATATTTTACAAGTTTAGAGTAACAAATATTGCATTCTCATTAGTAAAAGCGCTGAAAAAGGACCAGCAGTAGAAAAATTCATCAGATTTTTAACAATGAGGTGGTGTGATATCATTGGGCAGAGGTTAAATGCTTTGCCAGAAAGATCCAGAAACAAGTCTAAGGTTTAAAAATTGCTTGGAGGCATCATGACCAAGTTAATAGAGAATGAGCTGTAGCTCACATGACCTGGCTTTGAATTTATTAGCTCTATGAATTTAGCCAAGTTGAGTAATCTCACTAAGCCATGTTTCTTCACCTACAAAATAAAAATAATAGCATTTCTCATCTAAGGCTTTTATGAGGGATTAATTAGAATAATGAATGAAAAGTATCTGGCACAAAGAAGATGCTCAATAAATGTAGCTATGTTTAATTTTAGATATCAAAGTCTATTTGATGGAGATTTTTTGATGTACTGAAGATTATTAATATTCTGAATATTGCGGGGAGAAAATCAAGGGATTTTAAATATCACAGAAGGCCCACTTGCTCCCTAGTTTGACTATTTAAAACTGTGAGTAGCATTTTCTTAAACATAAATTCTGTTTTAGAGTAAGCATGTGCAATGACTTTTAGTTCTTGAGAAAATTTAGCCTGATGTTTTTGGTTCTTTCAGGATGTAATTAGTCTCCTCATCTGAAGGAGTTGAGCTACTGGTGGCTGGCTCTTTCTCTAAGCTAATGGGTGAGTTAAGATCTTTAATCTACTTCCTTTTAGCTTCCTTCTCATAAATCACAGAGGTCAGGAAAAAGACATTCTTGGTGGGTTGCATTTATTGTATGCTCTTTTAACTACCCATTGTTAATTGAGAATTAACTGTAAAGTTTTTATTCATATGTGTTGTAAAAATAAGAGCAATTGTACATCAAGGGTACCATTTGTGCTACATTTCCAAGTGAGCGTATCCATCTATATGTGAAGAATATTTAGTTGAAATAGTTGTTAGTGGTACTGACTTTGGCCCTATTACTGATTTCCTTCAGGCCAAATTCACTCGCTCTCTCCTTCACCTTCTGGTGTTTGTAAAATGGTCAGTTGCAATGATGATATTCAGCTTTGAAATGCTAGGCTTATCTGTCTAATTAAGATGTCCCAGAACACATTAAAAATATTTGTAACCACAAGGACTCTAGTAGCCTAGGAAAATTGGACAGAATAAGTGGCTTTCCTTTTTTCTCCTTAGGGAATAAATATAAACAGACAATATAGAGAAGATAATTAATATTTTCTCAATATTCAATCGTCCTGAAATTGTTCTCCCTCTCACAGGAGGGAGGATTATTATTTACTAGGATTACAAACCAATTGACCACCTGACATCTTGTGGTTGATTATGGATCGGTAAGGGAATGGAAAAAGCCTTTATTAAACATCGGCAATTTTACAGTTACATTTTCTGTATAACCGTTTTTGCACTTGAGGAAATAAATGCTCAGACAAGTCAAACTTTTTTTCAAGGTCAGACAGTTTAAAATTGGCATTGGAATTTCAATTCAGTTTAGTCTGATTTCAAATCCTGATCTCGCTGCTGTGTGCCTTTGTTTCTGTACTTCATTATAATGTTAAGTGCCTTTCTGGCTGAAATACACATGAATATGTTTGTGTCTTGTTCTCCATAAAAATTCATTCATTCCTGGAATATTTATTATGTCTCTGCTGGTGCTTAGTATTCTAATCACTGGAGATACAACAGTGAACAAGATGGACACAATCTCTGCTTTCATGAAGCTTGTTTTCTAGTTGGGAAAGACACCAATAACCAGTTGGAAAAGCAAGCAGTAAAAATACCAGGTAGTGATAGGTGCTGTGCAGAAAATTAAAATGAGCTGATGTGATTGAGAGTGACTAAGCAGCCTCTTTGGCTAGTCAGGGAAGGTCTCCCTGTGGAGATAATATTTAAAACTGAGGTTTTATTGTCACATGACAACTGAAAGTGAGGGAGGGAGTTGGTAACCAGGGCAAAGGACCTAAGTGTTTCTTGTATTAAAAGCAGAGTGGTGGATGATGAAGTTAGAAGGCAGGCCTGGGTCAGATCACATAAAGAATATAGAATTTATGTGCAGCTAGAAGCCACTGTATGGGGTTAATCAGAGGATGGACATAAAGGTAGCTCTTGTAGGTCTGTAGAGTGTATATTGTGGAAGCACAGATCCCAGAGAGGAGATGTATGCTGTTGCCAAGCTGAAGGTGTGAAGCCATGTGGCTTTGACTGCAGTGAGATGCTGGTGATGAAGGAAAAGCGGAATCCTGGTTCGTCCCTTGACTTTTGTTGAGTGTGCTCGTAGGTGGTGGTGCAGTTAATTGAGAAGGGAGAAATGACGTGATGGGGGGAGTGAGAAATTCAGGGCTTTGTTAGGGTCAAGTTAAGTTTAAATGCTAGTTTGAACCATGTGAAATTGCTTATATTAATTTTTTGACCATCAAAAGTGATAATTTCATATAGTTCAACATAAGACCTATTAGACATCCTTGTGGAGATATTAAGGAGGCCATTGCACGTACAAGTCTGAAGTATCAGGAAGCAATCTGGGGTGAATACATAGATTTGACAGTCATCACCGTGGGACCAGATGAGGTAAAAGAAGGAGGGTGTACATAGAGCAAAGGACAGAGTCCAGGATAATCCAAAGTGGAGGCAAGAAGAATTGTATGGGTTGGCAAGATGTGGTAGGTTACTAATGAGCTCCTTTCTTTGCCTCTTTGCTGTTATTTGACTCTCTTTCCTTGTGTGTATTTTAATTGGAATCTGAGTGTGAAATGTAACCTCTATCTCTGCCTAATAAACATTTTGCATCCTATTGGTTAAGTGAGCCTTGGGTTAGTCTGAAGTTTTTTTAATAAGGCCCATATGTGGTACAATAGAGTCTGAGAGATAAACAGATGGTGAAGGTGATAAATAGAACTTTCGTAGCCAAAATGCCTTTCTGTTGCTCAGTTTTTGCCAAGAGTATAGCTTTCCAACTTGTCAACATGCATGTACATACACACACATGCACAATCCATCTGAAACATGGGTTAGGATTCAGTAAAACTGCTGATTTTTCCCTGCTAAACAGATAGTGTATTTTAGGGAATTTTTAAAAGTATTTATGCATTAATCAGGATTAGAAACTAAAAGAATATACTGAGTATGGGTAAATTGGAAAACGTTTTTATGAGCTGATAGTTTGGGTTTACATATAAATGTGTTAACTGAAAAATACCAGAGTTAGTTATCAAAATTAATATGTGCCTTAGCAAACATTGGGCAAGAAAGTGCTATCAAATTCTGATCTCTACAGAATTGAGGAAAGGTAAAGGGGAACTAGTTGTAGTTGTTGATAGATAACTGGTTAGTGTCTGAATAATAATTTACAATAATCTCAGGAAAATATAGACAGAAAATCTAACTTTGAAAAAGTATTGAAGGAAAAACTTGCTATGAGAAATGGAGTGCTCTGAATATTAAAGTGACCAACACTTTTTACACCATCAAGTATAATTTTATGACTCTTTGTTGTAAAAATGGGATTTGGACCTGAAAAGTAACTAAAGAAAATAGATAATTTAAAATTGGCGTTACTGCTTCTCCAGATTTATGGTGAATTTTGAAAACATCTGTTCTTATACCAAGAGAGAATGGAAGTAACCATCTTAGCATAATGTAAATCTAGACTAGATAGACATGTAAAATTAGGAATATATAATAAATATACTACATATTTATAGGGACATATCTGAGATACTAAATGGATGGTGCAGTTATTTTCGTATATAGTCATTTTCATATAGATATGAAATATATATATATTTTATATATATATGTGGAATCTTTTCCTCTTCTTTCATTTTGAAACCATCTGGTTTCTATTTATATTTTACTTGCTATAAAGGAAAGCCTATTTGATCTGATTTTTAGAATGAAGCAGTTTTTTATCATGTATAAGAGGATTTCATTTACTATAAAATTTCCAATACTGCCAACATATCTTTTTGGGTCAAAAAAAAAAACAGAAGAAAACAAATTTAAAAATTATTTTGGTTGTCTATTTTTGCCAAATAAAATACTGGCAGGAGTTGTATGTTATGTTTTATAATTTAGTTTGAATAAATTGGGCGAATATATTTAGTTGTTTCATTGAAGATTAGATTTATAGGGATCAGAGTTGTTCTATATGTAAGAGCTGAAATTGAAAAATATGGTAAATTGGTGGATGGGCTTTAAAGCAGGTACATATAACACTGGGCAGAATGACTTTTATCTTGCATACCATTATTTTCCTAGGACTTGACATAATAGATCCTTAATAAATATGTATTGAATGAATGAATGTATTAAATTACAAGGATTAAAGATGAAAATCTAGGCATAAACAGTTCTTGAGGGTAACTTCACTTAGTGGTTTCTTCCTGTCAATTGACTATTCCTTGCTTCCTAATTGAGTTTGGCTTTGCTGGTCCTGCACTACAGATTCGACCTCAGAATCATGACACAGTTGGTCATTTACTGGTCAGTAAGCAGAGAGCTTAAAAACCTTGAGCACTTAACACTAATCTGCTCAGATCCTTACTTAACTGTTGGGTGTGTGTTGCCACTAAATACCCAGTTCCTCTCAGGTCCCACGCCTCTGCTGAATCGTGTATTCTTTACCCGGGTCTGGCTGAGGGTAGATTCAAATTAATTCTTTCCTTACCACTGTCTGAGTTAACCTGTAGAATTTTAAAATTCCTAGTTACTTTTCCTGAACCCCTTACTGTGTAGCAAATGTCTAAGTTATAATTATAGGAAAATAAAAGCATCATTCTGTGGCAAAGACATGGTATACTTCTTTTTAATTCCTCATGATGATATAATCTTGTATTTCACAGCCCTAGTCTTATAACCATCAGGGAAATTGGAGAGATAGAGGAAAGCTTAGTGGGAAAGTTGATCTTTCTAACAGTTGAAACTTCTTATTTGTCATGGTCAATAAGGAAAGCACACCACTAATAGTTGTGGGTATGCCTTACTATTTTCTGTGTGCAAGATCATGTCATCTGCAAATAAAGGTAGATTTACTTCTTCCTTTCCAAACTGCATGCCTTTTTTTTCTTCTTTTTTTGGCATACTTGTCCTGTCTAGAATCTCCAGTATAATGTTAAATAGACATGGTGAGAGTCGACATCCCTATTTGTTCCTAATTTTAGAGGGAAAGCATTCATGCTTTCACTAGTAAATATGATGATAAACGTGGATTTTTCATGTGTCCTTTATCAGAATGAAAAAGTTTCTTTCTATATTTAGTTTGTTGAGAGTTTGTATCATGAAAGTATGCTGGAATTTGTCACATGCTTTTCTTGCATCTATTGGATAATCATATGGTTTTTGTTCTTAATTCTATTAATAAGGTGTATTATACTGATTGATTTTTGGATCTTAAATCTACCTTGCATCCTTGAAAACATTCCATTTTGTCATGGTGTATGCCTGTTTTATTGTGTTTGCCAGCATTTTGTTGATAATTTTGCATATAAATTCATACGAGAAATTGGTCTTTAGTTTTCCATGCCATTGTCTGGTTCTGGTGTCAGGGTAATATTGGCCTCATAGAATGAATTGGGGAGCATTCCCTCCTGTTTTCTGGAAGTTTGTGAAGAATTTGTGTTAATTCTTCTATAAATGTCTGGTAGAATTCACCAGTGAAACTGTTGGGCATGGTCTTCTC